GGCAAGCGGGCAAGCATTGGTAATTCATTGGTGCTATTTCGTACTAATTAGTTAGGGCCTATTTCACGGATATATGGTTTGCACACTAGGTGAGCAGAGCAGTAGATAGGTAACTTACAGCTGCAATTGAATGTGTCCCAATAGAAGTCAGGTGAACACCATTGATTGGAAGGACAAGGACTGGAAGAACAGGGGTTCTGATGGAAGGAAATAGCGACATAAGAACTAAATAACACCTGTCAACAAATGTCAACTATTCACAGGAAGTAGTAGGAAATAATGAAATAAACAAAGAACAAAACACAAAATGAGAATGTACCACAAGGCCCGTGTTCCGTGTTGCACCCCATAAAACGTGTTTTTGTTTGGTGTTACGCTGGGGGAGTGGGGGAGTGAGGTACATTCGAAAAAATAAGAGACAAGTATGAAAAAGGGTAAATTAAGTGGGAATAGGTCTTTAATTGTGAAATACAGTGGATATTAGCAAGAAGTGTGGGGCTAAATTTACCCAAGCCGTATTGTAAATCCATTCGGTTTCCCCCTCCGCAATCCTGTAACAAGGACGAAACCTGTCCAGTAAAAAAATATTAGAGCAAAAAAAAAAAAAAAAAACGGGTGTAAAGTTTCGTTACCTTGATTGGACAATATTCAAAGCCTTTGTTTGATACCACGTGATCTTGGTCTGACACGTGATCAGCGTCATTCAGTTCACATGTTCTCGCTATTCCTTCTACTGGACCCAGATTGTACGACACACATTTGTCTTCAATATAACATTTGTGCTGACAATCCTCTAATCCGGGTGCTAAGATTCTGAAAGACCTGATGAGGTGACCAGTGAAGATCTTGTTTTTCCTACAGTCAAGATAGTCAAGCACCTTACAACCACCATCACCTGTTTGTAAGGTAAACGTTTATAGAAACAAATTATTACGAAAGTAATACCACGAGACACTATTTCACAAAGTTAGTTCTTTGCCTTGCTATTTTCATGGCAACTTTGGTAAGTAATGTTTACAACATGAGCGTCTGTGATGTATCGGCTATACAACAAAACAATCACGAGCCAAAAGAACTGGTGAAATTAACTAATAATTACACACACACACGCACACACATACATATATACTTTATTAGGTTTTCCATACAAAGGGCTTTTCAAAACCTATTACATTTAATGATGAATATAAAATGAACGAAACACTAGATATAATTATATGAAAATGTAAATCTACTTATAGAGTTTGTCCAATAGTTTAGACGTTAAAATGCTTTTAAACTTCTTTAACGACTTAAGTGCTTTCATTCTTTCATCCAACGAGTTCCAAATCTTAACGGCTCTGTACTTGAATGTTTTTTGACCAGAAGCTGACCTGAAGCTCCTTTGGTACATTTTGGAATTTATATGCTAATGATGCTACTTATATCGAAACAGTATACATTCACTTGTGGTTGTATCTA